TGTTATTATGAACTGCTTTTATGCTTTTGCTTATTGTTATCATTTTGCCAGACTTATATGATTATTTTGGAGAATATGTTTCGATTATAAATTGAATTGATAAGCATGGGTTGGTTTCTGGTTTTGAATTAAATATTATGATATTGTTTCGAGACTTATTGATGAGCATGTAATACAATGTCTTGATTTGAGTATTTGATTATGTGTTTATCTAAAATGGTTTATTCCCTAGGCTTAAGTCGATAAGCATATACATTGAATGTTAATTGAGTAATGCCCATTTCGAATTTAAAAATGATTTGCAAAAAAGTTTAACTCAGATTTTTTGGAAAATTTGGTATTATTCTTTAAAAATATTGGGACGTTACATTATACATTTGGCTTTGCAAAGTAATTATATAGTTTATACATATGTTGATGAGGACACACATGCATTGACACAACGGTTCATGTTGCATCATGAAGTAGTCAATCTATTCTGAAGTTATTACTGGTACATCGGTTTAGATTAGACATACAATACCATCAAGTATGTTATTTTATAAATAACAAATTAGTATAAATCTTAATTATTATGTTTGAGTAAGTTTATTGATTTTATATTTTCTCTTGTTGCTCTCATTTGCACAAGTAAGATATGTCGTTGGTGGAAATGATTCAGGCAAGATATGTCGTTGGTGGAAATGATTGGGATGATATCGTACGACAAAAATTTCAAATTTCTTAATTGTATATGCAATTATGAAGAACGAAGACGAGAGCGATTACAACTATCCCCCTAAGCCAACACTCAAACCTAAGGAAAAAAAAAAAAAAAAAAAAAAAAAAAAAAAAAAAAAAAAAAAAAAAAAAACTATACTATATCACAAAAGACCAAAACTCCAAGTTAAAATATCATATTTTAACCCGGAATATCTTTTAATTGATAGTTAACTTATAACATGTCAACTAGTATATGCAATATGCATAAGCAATAATAAAAGAACTCTTAACCCTCCCCACCCCACCCAATTTTTTATCTAACAAGGAAACCGAAAAACTTCACGTAATGCCAAAGTTCACTATTAATAGAAATAACAAGAAAGATACGGCATGAAGCCGTCATAACTCTCAATCATTGTTCAAAGCCCACAAAAATACATCAATCCAGCTTCACGGACGAGAAAAGGTAGTGCACAAACCAAAATGATGAAAGGAACCCGACAGCACCAGTGGCCAGCATAATCGCCACCACCATCAGGAGGGAATACCCGAGGTAAAGGGTTGCAGAGATAGGCCCGCTCAAGCTCTTGAGATCAAAAACCAAGTAATTAACTGAGTAAATAAATATGTAAATAGCTACCGAGCCAGACGCAAAGAACGACTTCCACCACCATCTCCAATCCTCCACACAGAGATGCATGTATGTTAAAACGAGCGACACTTCAGCACAAACCACCACCAAAAGCAGCATCACAATCAAAAGGAACCCGAAAACGTAGTAAACACGGCCCATCCAAATGCTCGACATGATGAAGAAGAGCTCGATGAAAAGCGTCCCAAACGGCAGGGTCCCGGCCCCTAAAACCAAAAGCCAAGATGGGTACTTTTGAGGCGGGACCTCACGCAGGATCTGATTTGTCCGGACTGGATACTCAATGTGAGCCGCCTGGGCCCCAAAGTAACCCCCGACAACAGTTAGTGGCACTGAGATGCAGAACCAGAGCAAGATCAAGATCACAAACAACGAAAAGGGAATTGCGCCAGTGCTGCCACTGCCCCACAATAGGAAATTCAGGGTTGTGAGGACGAGAAAAGCCATGCCCGGGAAAAAACAGGAGACTTTCCAAGAAAGCACTGCCCATCCCTTATGGTCCCCAATGAAAATGGTCCTCCACAGACGGACAGCCGAATAACCGGCCGCAATCCCAAGCACCATGTAGAAGAAGAGCATGCCGCTCACGAGGGCCCCACGAGATGCTGGGGACATAAACCCAAGGGCTGCAAACAGAATTGTGACCACAGCCATCCCCAGAATCTGCACCCCACTCCCGACCATCACACAAAGAAGGGAGGGATTGGCCGGGGCCCGGAAAACGTCACCCACTACCAATTTCCATCCTGAGAGCTCCTCATTCATCTGGGCCTGGGCCTCCTTGTCGAGCTCCTCATACCGAGCAAGGTCCCGCCTAACAGTCCTCAAGAAAATGACGAGCACGATTCCGGCCAGGAATGTGATCACCATAAGAGAATTCAAAATTGAGAACCAGTGCACTTTGGCGCCCTCCATTTTGAGATATGCATCCCACCTGGACGGCCACTTGATGTCCCGCTCCTCGAACAACACTTCATACGAGAAGGTCAGTGGCTCGTTTTCCTTAATCTCCATGGCTGCGCTGCCGGGATCGCACGTGATCGGGGCTGGGTACCTCTCGTACATGCCCAGCTTCTTGGCACTGCCCGACTCGTGCCGGAAGCTGCAGGGCACAACCTCGAACCCCACGACCATGTACCCAGAACTTGATGAGGGCATGACCACATTGGCAGATTCCTCGTAATTGTTGACGAGGACCTTGAATTTCAGGTGGTTGAATGCATAGTAGCCACCGTCCACCTTGGCACCCACTGGATAACCCGTCCACCTCATCGTGAACCCGTCTTTTGAAGTGTAGCGGATCGCGGGAAGGTTGTCAAGGATCAAGTTTACCTGGTACATCTCGTCAATCCTCTTTGTCAGGAGCTTGAACTCGTGGGCCGACAAGGGTTTAGTCTGGCAAAGGAAGATGTCGGTCTCGTTGGTGTGCATCTTGAACCGGTAGGGGGAGTTCTCGATCCGGTCGCCCATGAGGATCTCGCCCAGGTTCTCGGCACTGTCCTTGATGCCCTCCTTGGGGCGGCAGAAAGGGAAGCTGTAGTAGCCGTAAGGAAGCTCGGTGTCGATCGAGGTCAACGAGTTGACCTTGACGTTGAGGTAGTCGCCGACGGCGTACTTGTGGGGGTAACTGCCGGGGAGGTAGAAACCCCGGACCGGATAGGAAAACGCAGCGAGGATAACAAAGGCCCAGATCATTATCTTGTGAAAAGATTCCATTTTCTTTTGTTGGGGTTCGCTGCTAATTGTAGCAGATCTGGATTTTTTTTCCCGAATTCGAAAATCGATTGTGAACCACTGGAAAAATATCAACTTTCTTGAAAAGGGGTGTCGATATTGATCGAGATCTGGAAACAGAGAAATCGGACTGATGGGGCTCGTTCCGAGTAGAAATAGGAACAAAAAGATGCAACGTGTAAACAAGAACTTCAAACAATTCAGAAAAAAAATAGTGTATACAAGACCATGGTTTTTTAGAACTCAACTGAGCCGTGGACTGTAATCAGAATCGAAGAACCCTGTGAAGATGGGACATCCGGAGATGAAGGGGGAGACTGTTACAGTGACCGACTTTGGTTTTTAATTTTTAACTAATACAATACGGGTCCGTTTGGTTACATTTTGTTATTGGGCTTGATACTATCCAATTTTGTTTCCCTAGGTTATTCATGTGATGTAATCCATTTCAATAACTTGTTTGGTTATTTTTTGGGCTCAACCCAAATATGAGTTGTAATGTTCTATATTCATTCATATGAACAGAGGCAATTCCCACAATTCATAACACAAAAATTTCAAAATTAATTTATGAATAGAGGTAATTCTCAAAAATCATCTATGAACATAGAAACTGCAACTCAGATATTGTTGTGACCCACAAACAATTGTGCCTTCAAAAATGTAATTCAAGATCCAAGAAGTAATAAAGCATTCATCATCCATTGTCAAGCTCTTGTCCTCGACAAATTGCCACAACACAGATCCGCTAGAGATTTATCAAACACATATCCATCATAAATACCAAATGAAAAAGATAAAATGTGCAGTTTGTTTCTTCTCCCAAGGGTGAACTCGACCGGGCTCGATCTAGCTGCACTCGACCGGGCTCGATCCACAATGGTCACCTCAGGCAGGTGAACTTGTGTCCAGACGAGCACTCAAACCGGGCCAAAACCTATCGTGTAATACCCCATATTTTTAGTAAGTCAGTAAATCAGTAGAAGTTATTCAGTAAATCGGTAAAAGTTATTAATAGTTTATAGATGATAAGTAAATTATTTTCAAGATTAAGTTAGTATGGTTTTTACAAGAGAAAATATCACAATCTCAAAGTAATTATGAAAAAAAAAAATTCAAAAGCAAAAGAGAGAAATCCGAATTTTTTAGAATTTTCGGTTTTACGGTAATTGTTCGTTTTAAGTCTAAATTTGGTTCCGTAAATTTTAGTTTTCTTGTTTTTTTTACCACATTACAAGATAATTATGAAGTATTATTTTTATTTTAAAATTAAGAGCTGAATATTAAGAAATGAATAAATAAATAAAGCATTAAATGATGTTTTGTCATCATTTTTACTAAAAAAACTTTCTAAGTGTTTTTAAATAAAAATGGGGCCAATTTTTATATCAGCTATGGGAGCATTATTATCATCATTAATCAGCATATTTGTCCTATTTTAGAGAGTATTTATGAGCCATCAAAATCATATTTTTATATTAATTCAAGTTAAGTTTTTATATTAATTTCTAAGCAAAATTGGTGAGGAGTTTTATCAACAATGAAGAGCTCTTATGCCTATAAATAGAGGGCCATAGAATCAGATTTAGAAGCACTAAAAATTTTATAAATATTCAAAGAGCAAGAAATAGTAAGAAACGAGTAGTTACGAGAGGAATCGAGCAATTTTGAGAGAATGTGAATCAAGTTTCATTGCTTTGTTTTCTCAAGATTGGAAGAGGTATGTTATACAACTTTAATATCATCAAGTATATTTAAGAATTATAAGTGTTTATATGTGTTATTAATATGTTGTTATATTAAGAAATTATAATTTCTATATATATAAGTATATAAAACAAGATTATTTAAA